ACCACCCAGAGGGGATCCCACAACAACTGTTTAATTATGGATGTCCCTGTTTATAAAAACAACAACAAATAAAACTGCAGATCTACAAAGGACCCAGAGGAGTGTTTAAATGTGAATCTTTTTTTGTAATCATTTCTTGCTTTGAATAGTAAAAAGGGATGGTTCCCTCACTATGAAGGCAGTGAATGAACACCTGTGAATATACTGGTTTCTCCTCCTTCAGAGGTTGGAGGACAGCTGATCCAGTCCAAAGGAGATGATAGAGACATATTGTAATAACAATGGACTGAGTGTTGCATCACTCCCGCATATGGTTACCATATAATAAAAACAATTAAATGTGTTCCGGGCGGGCTAGTGATGCTAATGGAGGTGGAGCTACATTTCCAGCAACATAGGAAGGGCTTTAGAGGGATACTATAGTGCCAGGAATTCAAAGCAGTATTCCTGGCACTACCGATCCCTACCGATCCCTCTGCCTCCCCTCTCCCTTGCGCCCCTTCCTACCCTTAAATAAAGTTTTAAAAACCTCTTTATTTACTTACCTTATCCCAGCGCCGATGGGTCGAAGCTTCGCCCCCTCCTCCATCCCATGATGAGCGGGGACAAATGAACATGCGCGTCAAATGCCACAAACGCATTAGACCTCCCCATAGGAAGGCATTGAATAAACCAATGAGCTGAAGTGGTCTGCGTGCCTACAGTGTCCCTTTAACTCTATCAGGGTTATTTACTAAAATGAGAATTCAAAGTTAATTTCAATTTTAATGCCAAAGATGGCAAACCGGAAGACTGGAATATTTTCAGTTTGGCTATTTTTATCTTAAATTTTTAATTCACCCTGAATTCTCACTTCAGTGAACAATCTTGTGGATTTGAAGGTTTCAAACTTAAATGTTGCAAATACAGACTTCAAACACTGAAGTGATGATGGTGCTTAAAGTAACACTATACCGAAAAGGAAGAAAGCTCTATCCATTGTAAAACAGAAGTCAGGAAGTCCATCTGGAACTCCTTGCCATCCCTGCAAAGTTTAATGTATTGAAAATTCTGTGTTATTCTGGCAACAAAGTAAACCTGGTGAGTTACAGGGAGAATCACCAGTCACTTGATCTGATTTCTAGTAGCTTTCCTATATATTTCACAATGAAATAAATGTGGGAGCTGTCAAAATTCAACACTAACCATGTAATGAATAAATAATTATAAATACAAATGTCAATCACCTGTAGCTACAATTAAATTCAACAATAATCAAAAGGGAGGTGCTAAAATCAATTCTTGTACTAATGTTTTATTAAATATTACTAATAAAAGAAAAGTATAAAAAAAAAAAAACATTCACAAATAATTGTACCACAAACTATCAGTCAATCTCCAATGTATAAACATACAAAAAAAAAAAAGGGGGGGTCTGCCAGATACGACTCTCTGCGCCGGAGGTAAGCTTGCCAGTACAGGGCATAGCTCATTGGCTGAGAGCGATCAGCAGATGCTCTCAGCAAATGAGCTGGCCCTGAACTGCAAGGCTTAGCTCAGGGAACTAATGGAAGATTCACTTACTGCTGAGAGGTGGTGGGGCGCAGTTCCCATTTCTGAAATCAAGGTAATAAGTCAAGCCATTTTCAAATAGTTTTTTAAATTAATTAATCCTTGCAGGGCTGTATGCTGAGCACAGTCAGACCAGCCACCGATTCCTTCCTATAAATTTAAATAATTATAGGTTGCGTTTCTTTGGAATATCACTAAATTGTTCTAATACCTTAGAAAACTCACAAGAACAATTTCTAATAAATGTTAGTAATGTGACATCCTATTATTCAACATTTACAAACAAACGTTTCACTCCAGTCATAATAATAACTAGATGACTGTCTGAAAAACTACTGCAGATTTAGGATTCTCCCCTCTCCCAAAATAAATTCTAATCTAAACATAAGCTTTACAAATCCTCAGAACTAGACAAAATATTACAGAATAAATGCTTTATTACAGAATTTCAATCATATATGCTCATCATATGCATAAACTTGATTTTTTTTTATTTAGGTCAATATCAAATTACTCAGAATGTGCACAATGCAATAGATATTTATTCACTGTATATTTAGTGGACAAGGGTGACAGTAATATGATCAAAATGAAGGGCACAACAGATTTTTTCTTCTTCAACTGCGTAACTTGCTATGCCTTGGGGTTTATCCAATGAAGGTCAAATTGCATTTGCTTTGCAACTAATGTGGATAATTTTCAAGAAAAATGGCTGATTAAAGGAACACAATGGGGCTTTTTGCAGTAAACACGGTCTTTTCAGAGAAAATGCAGTGTATACATTACAGCCTAGTGATAACTTCACTGGCCACTCCTCAGATGATTACTAGGGGTGCTTCCTCTGCATGGAGACACTTAAAGGGACACTGTAGGCACCTAGACCACGTCAGCTCATTGCAGTGATCTGAGTGTACCTTTTGCACTTAGTGCTGCAATGTAAAACAGTGCAGTTCCAGAGAATTGCAATATTTACATTGCAGCTCAAGTCTGCTCTCAGTGGCTGTCTACCTTTGGTCCGTTATCTGACGCTGCACGTCCTTGTGCTCTGCATGAGGACCTCCAGTGACAGATTTTTCCCCACAGCAAAGCATTGAAGGGCAAGCTATTGAGTTTACTCTAAGCTTTTGTCCGTTCTCAGTGTTCTCATTCTTTCTTTTTTTGCATTCATGCATTAACTTGGCTCACCCCAAGTTAAAAGGGTAATCCAGATGTGGACCCCGTGCTCACTGTGCCTAGAGGGATGCCAGCTACACCTCACTAATGAGGCCCTAAAGAAGGCTGACAATCGTCTGGGGTTGCTGTATCTCTTGTGCAGAGGGAACTTGCTGGCATTTCAGATCTGGACTGCTCGTACAGGTGAGACCTGTCTGATATGCTTCAGATATATCCTCTCTGTAATGGCACAAGTCAGCAAAAACTATTTTAGGACCTGAGCGGGGATGTACCAAAGGGCAAGCTATTGAGTTTCAGAGATCTCATTCTTTAATTTTTGCTTTCCTATGGGGAAATCCACTGGCGTACATACCAGGGTCGCAGGGGGCCCGGCCGCCCCTGCGACCCGGTATGTACGCCCAGGGCCAGCCTCTTCCCCTGAGGGGCCCAGGAGCCGACCACCCCAGGGCCCCCCGAGGCTGGCCCTGCTGATACCGGGCAGGCGGGTGGCCTGTCGGGCAGGCAGGCGGGCGCGCGAGGGAGCACTCAGTGCTTCCTCTTCAGCTCCCTCGCGCGCCGCATAGGGATACCGGAGCCGGAAGATGACGTCATCTTCCGGCTCCGGCATCAGTGCGGCGCGCGAGGGAGCTGAAGAGGAAGCACTGAGTGCTCCCTCGCGCGCGCGCGCCCGCCTGCCTGCCCGCCCGACCGGCCACCCGCCCAGGAGCCCAGCAGCACCACTGGACCCCAGGGAATCCCCCCCAGCACTCCAAAAGGTAAGGAGGCTGGGGGGATTAAATAAAAAAAAAAAATGTGTTAGTGTTTGAGTGTGTGTGTTAGTGTGAGTGTGAGTGTTAGTGTTAGTGTGAGGGTTAGAGTGAGTGTTAGTGTGAGTGTCAGTGTGTGTGAGTGTTAGTGTGAGTGTCAGTGTGTGTGAGTGTTAGTGTGTGTCTGCTAGTGAGTGTTAGTGTGAGTGTTAGAGTGAGTGTTAGTGTGTGTGTCTGCTAGTGAGTGTCAGTGAGTGTGTTACTGTGTGTGTCTTACTGAGTGTGTGTGTCTTAGTGAGTCTGTTTGATGTCTTTTAGTGAGTGTGTGTTTGTCAATGAGAGTGTATGTTTTGTAATTGAGTGTGTATGTATGTCTGTCGCTGACTGTGTCTCTGTCAGTAAATGTGTGTGTCTGTTAGCTAGTGTGTATGCGTCTGTAAGTGTGTGTGTCTTCAGCACTTACCTTTCTCCAGCGCCGGACTCCCTTGGCGCTGAGGATCCCTCAACCTCTCAGCTCCGAATGCGACCGCGCACGCATTCAAACCGCCCATAGGAAAGCATTACTCAATGCTTTCCTATGGACGTTCAGTGTGCTCCTCTAGCGGCTGTCAGTGAGACAGCCACTAGAGGCTGGATTAACCCTCAGTGAAACATAGCAGTTCTCTGAAACTGCTATGTTTTCAGCTGCAGGTTTAAAACTAGAGGGACGTGACACCCAGACAACTTCATTGAGCTGATGTGATCTGGGTGTCTGTAGTGGTCCTTTAAGGGACCACTATAGTGCCAGGAAAACATACTCGTTTTCCTGGCACTATAGTGCCCTGAGGGTGCCCCCACCCTCAGGGACCCCCTCCCGCCCGGCTCTGGAAAGGGGAAAGGGGTAAAACTTACCTTTTTCCAGCGCTGGGCGGGGAGCTCTCCTCCTCTGATCCTCCTCCTCCCCGTCGGCTGAATGCGCACGCGCGGCAAGAGCTGCGCGCGCATTCAGACGGTCACATAGGAAAGCATTCATAATGCTTTCCTATGGACGCTGGCGTGCTCTCACTGTGAAAATCACAGTGAGAAGCATGCAAGCACCTCTAGCGGCTGTCAATGAGACAGCCACTAGAGGAAATAGGGGAAGGCTTAACCCATTCAGAAACACAGCAGTTTCTCTGAAACTGCTATGTTTATGAAAAAATGGGTTAACCCTAGCTGGACCTGGCACCCAGACCACTTCATTAAGCTGAAGTGGTCTTGGTGCCTAGAGTGGTCCTTTAAGTGTGTGTGCATCTGCATGCACTGGCGTACATACCGCGGTCGCAGGGGTCGCAGCCCTGTAACCTCTGCGACCAGGTGCCCACCGTCATGTGTTGCGGCCCGGCACGCGCGCGGGGGGGGGCCCACGGATCAATTTTCGCACCGGGGCCCCATGGGTCATGTGTACGCCACTGGGGAAATCCTAATGCAAGCGTGGTCATTTGTAGCATGGGCGGAGCCTAACCCAGCTAAGGGGTTTTAACCCATTCAGTGCCGAGGGAGGGGGGCACGCTTGAAATCTTTAGTGCCAGGAAAACACCTTTTATTTTCCACATAGAGATGCATTGATTCATACCCTGGCAGAAATTGTGAAATGTTGGCATTGATTTTGAAAATATAACTAATCATGCAAAGAAATGTCTTTACTGAAGCATAGTGACAGAGTGAAGCCATTTATTATCACATAGTTGTTTGGCTCCTTTTAAAATCATAATGATTACAGAAATAACCCAAATGGCCGTGATCAAAAGTTTACATATCCTTGAATGTTTGGCCTTGTTACAGACACACTTGATGACACACATAGGTTAAAATGCTAATTAAAGGTTAATTTTCCACACCTGTGGCTTTTTAAATTGCAATTCGTGTCTGTGTATAAATAGTCAATGAGTTTGTGAGCTCTCAGGTGGATGCACTGAGCAGGCTGGATACTGAGCCATGGGGAGCATAGAAGAACTTTCAAAACAAGGTAATGGAACTTTATAAAGATGGAAAAGTAAGTAAAAAGATATCCAAAGCCTTGAAAATGCCACTCAGTACTATTCAATCACTTTTTAAGAAGTGGAAAATTCCAGGAACTCTTGATTCCAAGCCAAGGTCAGGTAGACCATGAAAGATTTCAGCCACAACTGCCAGAAGAATTGTTTGTGATATAAAGAAAAACCCACAGGTAGCCCTAGGAGAAATACAGGCTGCTCTGGAAAAAGATGGTGTGGTTGTTTCAAGGCCAGAAAGAAGCCTTTACTGCGCCAATACCACAAAAAAGCCCAGTTACAATATGTCTGACAATACCTTGACACTCCTCACAGCTTCTGGCACACTGTAATTTGGAGTTACAAGACCAAAATGGAGCTTTATGGTCAACAAGGCCTATAGTGAAAAGAATATCATTGTCAGGGTACCTGTTGGTGATGTATCCAGGGAGGACATCCTCTCTGCTTAGGGGCTCCCTTCCCTTAGCATTTCGGCATATTCCGGCCGTTTTCGCGCCGGCCGCGCTAGCTCCTCCCCCTTTTATGACGCGACGGCTAGCGTCGACGTCATGACGTCGGCATTTGCTTAAAGTGCCGGGAACCGCTATTCCGGACCTTTTGGGGGCGTGGTCTCTATTTAGGTACAGGGTATTTAAAGGAAACCTTTACTACTGCTCATTGCCCTGTCGTGGTTCTAGCTTGCTAGTCACTCAGCGCGTTCTTTATCTTGTGTTTCCGGTTTTGACCCTTGCTTGTCTTTTGTCCTGTTGTCCTCTCCTCTCCTTTGACTCGGCTTGTATCTCGCTTACCTGTCCTCCGGCTCCCTTGACCTCGGCTTACCTTTTGACTATTCTTGCTTTGTCCTTACGTTAGTCCGGCCATTCTAAGGTCCGGTATACGTACCTCCTTCTGTGCGCACTCTGCGTATTGGATCCCTGTCAGTTTCCTGACATTACGACAGGGCCATGATGGATCCTGCAGGTGCTAGTCCTCCTGACCCCAGATTTGAGGCCATGGACCATAGAATGGACCAAATGGCTTTAGCGCTACAAACTTTGTTGACACGCTCCAGTACCCAGTCTGAAGAAATACGTTCCACTGCTAGCCACTCGCTAAGTACTGGTTTGGAAGTAGCCACTGTAGGCGCATCTTCCCATGTCACGTCACCATTACGATATGGGGGTTCGCCTGATGCTTGTCGTGGTTTTTTAAACCAGATAAGTATACATTTCGAACTACAACCCCGGGCTTACCCCACTGACAGGGCTAAGGTAGGCTTTATTATAACCCTGCTAATAGATAAAGCACTTAGATGGGCCAATCCCCTTTGGGAGAATGACAATCCTTTAGTCTACAACTACACTGCGTTTGTCACGGCTTTTAGAAGAACCTTTGACCCCCCAGGGAGGAAGATTAATGCGGCCAGATCCCTGTTACGCCTTAAACAACAAGATAGGACCCTTGTAGAATATGCTCTAGAGTTTAGATCATTGGCAGCAGAAGTGAAATGGAACGAACAAGCTTTTATGGATGTTTTCTTGAATGGGTTGTCTGATGAAATTTTAGATGAAATTGCCACAAGAGAACTTCCGGAAAATTTAGAGGATTTAATATCCTTCATTTCCAGAATAGATGAACGCATGAGACAGAGGCAGAACACTCGGGAAAGAGTTACTAGACTTCCTGTAAGACTCGCTCCCTCATTTCAGAACCCTGACTCCTATAATCCTACTCCACCAGAACCTATGCAAATAGGTAATACTCGCTTATCTGAGGCTGAGAGACAGTACAGGAGAAGGGAGGGTCTCTGTTTATACTGCGGGCTGAGAGGTCACTTACGTCTTAGTTGCCCTAATCGTCCGGGAAACGCTCGCACCTAAGTTCCCTTAGAGGACGGGCCTTGGGTGTTTCATTACTGTCCTCTATGCATAATAAAAAAGACCATAGGCTTCTGATTCCTGTCTCTCTAGCTTGGGAAAAGGGGTTTATTGCTACGATGGCATTATTAGATTCTGGAGCAGCAGAAAGCTTTATAGACCAAACTTTCGCTAATAAGCATTGTATCCCATTCCAATTGAGAGATACACCCTTGGCCGTTGAGGCCATAGATGGTAGACCTTTATCTGAACCAGTAATATTCCATGAGACCGAACCCGTTAAGCTTACTGTTGGTATTTTCCACGAAGAGTTGATTTCCCTTCTGTTAATTTCCTCCCCGGCAGTCCCAGTGGTTCTAGGATATTCTTGGCTCAAGAGACACAACCCTCAGATTGACTGGGAGGGTGGAGAAATCGTTTCTTGGGGTATGGGTTGTAGGGAAGAATGTCTGCAGAGAGTTACTTCTGTTTGCCCCGTAAACTCTTATGCTAACACTTCTCAATCCACAGACGTTCAGATACCATTACAATATCTAGACCTCAAATCTGTATTTGACAAGGGTAAGGCGGATACTTTACCTCCCCACCGGTCTTATGACTGTTCTATTAAACTTTTCCCTGGTACTATGCCTCCCAGGGGTACGGTATACCCTCTATCCACCAAGGAAAACTTAGTTTTAGAGGAATATATCAAGGAGAATTTAGACAAGGGATTTATTAGAAAGTCTTCTTCTCCGGCGGGGGCAGGTTTCTTTTTTGTAGAAAAGAAAGACGGTACATAACGTCCTTGTATAGACTATCGGGGATTGAACAAAATTACTATCAGAAATGCTTACCCTATTCCTTTGATTACTGAACTGTTTGACAGACTAAAGGGCTCGAGTATTTTTACTAAACTTGACTTAAGAGGAGCATATAACTTAGTGCGAATTAAACAAGGAGATGAATGGATGACAGCATTTAATACCCGTTACGGGCATTATGAGTATACCGTAATGCCGTTTGGGCTTTGTAACGCCCCGGCCGTCTTCCAAGACTTGATCAATGAAGTTCTTAGAGAATTCCAACATGAATGTGTAATTGTATATTTGGATGATATATTAATCCATTCTAGAGACATTAATTCACATCATAGACAAGTCAGAAAGGTATTACAGAAACTTTTACAACATGGATTGTATTGTAAATTGGAAAAATGTAGCTTTGACCAGTCTCAGGTAACTTTCTTAGGTTACGTAATTTCCAAAGACGGGTTTATGATGGACCCGACCAAACTAAAATCGATTTTAGATTGGCCTTTACCTAAGGGACTCAAAGCCATACAAAGATTTCTTGGATTTTCTAATTATTACAGACGTTTTATTAAAGGGTACTCCTCTGTTATCGCTCCTATCACTAATATGACCAAACAAGGAGCCGATACCAAAACCTGGTCTACTGAGGCTTTATCTGCTTTCGAAACGCTCAAACAGTCTTTTGCCTCAGCACCTGTATTAGTTCATCCTGATACCTCTCTACCCTTTTTACTTGAAGTTGATGCGTCTGAAACAGGGATAGGCGCAGTGTTATCCCAAAGACAAAGTTTAGATAAGCCGCTGCACCCTTGCGGTTTTTTTTCCAAGAAACTATCACACACTGAAAGGAGATATGACATTGGTGATAGAGAACTTTTAGCTATCATTATGGCATTAAAGGAATGGAGACATTTGTTAGAGGGCACCGTCCTCCCAGTTACTATCTTGACTGACCACAAGAATTTATCGTATATGGGGGAGGCCAAAAGATTATCTGCCAGGCAGGCACGTTGGTCTATGTTCCTTACACACTTTAATTATGTGCTTACTTACAGGCCTGGTTCTAAGAACACTAAGGCAGACGCTTTGTCACGTCAGCACGAACCTACCACCTCTACAGAGGATACTTTGTTCCCTATTATTCCTGAAGTCAATATTATCGCCAACACCAATGTCAAAATACACTCTCCATTGCTCGCTGATATTCAGAACGAACAATCTCTTGCTCCCGAACGTACTCCTGTGGGCCGCTTGTTCGTGTCTCCCAAATTCCAAGTGGACATTATTCGCTGTTTCCACGATAGCAAGATCGCTGGTCACCCCGGCATCCACAAAACTTACTGCCTGATCTCCAAAGACTTCTGGTGGCCCGGTTTACGTAGGGATGTGGAAGACTTTGTCAAGGCTTGCAATGTTTGTGTCAGGAATAAACTTCCGCGGGATCTCCCTTGTGGTTTATTGCAGCCCTTAGTCGTTCCCAACAAACCTTGGGCTTGTTTGGCTATGGATTTTATTGTTGATCTACCAGCTTCCAATAGGCATACAGTTATCCTCACGGTCCTTGACAGGTTTACTAAAATGGCTCATTTCGTTCCCTTGCCTAAACTTCCGTCCTCTCCCGAACTGGCCGTGATATTTGCTAGAGAAATTTTCGTTTACATGGTATTCCCAATGAGATTGTGTCAGACAGGGGTTCCCAATTTATTTCCCGTTTTTGGAGATCCTTCTGTTCACGGTTGGGCATCAAACTGAATTTTTCCTCGGCCTATCATCCCCAATCTAACGGAGCAGCCGAACGCACTAACCAAAAAATTGAGCAATATCTACGTTGTTTTGTTTCTGAACACCAGGATGACTGGGTCGGTCTGATTCCTTGGGCGGAGTTTGCTCACAACAACCTTGTTTGTGGTTCCACTCGTAACAGCCCCTTTTTCTTGAACTATGGCTTTAACCCTACTGTTCTTCCGTCGGTGTCTCCTTCCCAGGGTATACCGTCGGTTGATATTCATATAGCCAACCTGAGAAAGTTGTGGGATCAGACTCGACAAATTCTTGAACGTAGTTCAGCGGTGTTTAAGTCACATGCTGATAGGCGTAGACGTCCTGCTCCTATTTTTTCTCCGGGGGATAGGGTCTGGTTGTGTACCAGACACATTCGCCTGAAAGTTCCTTCCTTGAAGTTTGCTCCTCGTTACATTGGTCCTTACAGGGTACTGAGGAGGATCAACCCGGTTTCTTATTTGCTGGATCTACCTCCTACTCTACGCATCCCTAACTCTTTTCATGTGTCGTTATTAAAACCTCTTGTTTGTAACAGATTTTCCTCCCGCTCTGCTCCTCCATCCTCGGTCCGTGTGGATGGTCAGGAGGAATATATCATCAAGTCCATCCTTGATTCTCGTATTTCTAGGGGGAAGCTGCAATACCTCATAGACTGGAAAGGTTATGGTCCTGAAGAGAGGTCTTGGGTTCCTGGTATAGACGTGCATGCTCCTCGTCTTCTTCGGGCCTTCCACGTTCGTTTTCCTTCTAAGCCAGGTCCCATCCGCCCGGTGGGCGTTTCTAGAAGGGGGGGTACTGTCAGGGTACCTGTTGGTGATGTATCCAGGGAGGACATCCTCTCTGCTTAGGGGCTCCCTTCCCCTAGCATTTCGGCATATTCCGGCCGTTTTCGCGCCGGCCGCGCTAGCTCCTCCCCCTTTTATGACGCGACGGCTAGCGTCGACGTCATGACGTCGGCATTTGCATAAAGTGCCGGGAACCGCTATTCCGGACCTTTTGGGGGCGTGGTCTCTATTTAGGTAACAGGGTATTTAAAGGAAACCTTTACTACTGCTCATTGCCCTGTCGTGGTTCTAGCTTGCTAGTCACTCAGCGCGTTCTTTATCTTGTGTTTCCGGTTTTGACCCTTGCTTGTCTTTTGTCCTGTTGTCCTCTCCTCTCCTTTGACTCGGCTTGTATCTCGCTTACCTGTCCTCCGGCTCCCTTGACCTCGGCTTACCTTTTGACTATTCTTGCTTGTCCTTACGTTAGTCCGGCCATTCTAAGGTCCGGTATACGTACCTCCTTCTGTGCGCACTCTGCGTATTGGATCCCTGTCAGTTTCCTGACAATCATTCCCTCTATCATCCCCTCTAGAGGTTTGAACAGGGGTCATTTCATCGTTTTCTTTTTTTGTCATGTTTTGTTTTATGATTGTGCCATTCTGTTATAACCTACAGATGAATATGCCTGCTCACTCATGTTTTGTTTAAAAATGGTATATATATTACCAATTCTCCAACGGTATTCAAACATTTGAGCACAAGTGTATATCTTCCTAGCTCGCTCTTAGCATTCTCTTACATGATCTCATCTTCAGTAGTCCTCCTGGTATGATAACCTTAGCTTTCTATTAAATATTGCTGCTCTTATGACACATGTCAGCTTATCCATTAGCTCTCTCTCAGCACACATTGTGCGTATGGTTAAAGCATCAAGATACTGATAGACTCCAAACATGTTGGTTACTCTGAACTCTAGTAACTAACTCTAACTATTAGCTCTCCGAACACAGTGTGCGCAGGGTTAAAGGGACACTAGAGGCACCCTGACCACTTCATTTCATTGGGATTATACTTGTCTGAAAGACCATATTTACGAAAAATAAGGGCTTTTTGTAAGTTTGGTCTTTCAGCACTGAAGTACTAAAGGGACACTATTGTCACTACAGCTTAATGTAGTGGTTCTGGTGCCTATAGACTGTTCCTGCAGCCTTTTTAATGTGAACCCTGCCTTTTTTCAGAAATAAGTCAGTGTTTACATTACTGCATAGGAACACCTCTAGTGGCAATCACTCAGACAGCCACTAAGGGTGCTTCTTGTGTCAGTGCTGCATAGTGTGTAGCACTGGTGTTCAGTGTCTCCACACTCTATATGGAGGCACTGAACGTATTCAATGCATCTGTATGAGGACATGCTTATTGGCTCAGCGTGGAGTTTTGCATGCATGTTCAATAGCCTTCCAATTCTTTCCTATGGGAAAGCATTGGATTGGTTGAGATTGTCAAAGTTAAGGGATCTCAGTCATGGAGGCGGGGTCAGCCATGGCGAGACTGGTGCATCGTGGGAGAAAAGGGGAGTGAAATCACCTTTGATCTCTGGAGAGAGAAGAGCCATGGACCTAATGCTGCATTCCATGTTTGTATTCCTGACACTATAGTGTTCCCTTTGTCTTCCAGGCCCCCTCCTAACCATGCCACTGACATATCTATATGACCTTATGCAGGATAAAAATTAGTTTTTTTGACATAAAATGTCATTCCTCCAAACTCTATCTTCCAAAGCAAGACATTTCTACCTAATAATACATGTGCTTCAATAAACTTTTTTAATAAAAACATCTGCAAACATTTTGTATGTTAAAAAGTTTCTCAGGGGTGAAACTGTTTGTATGTAGAACCGAATTTAGTTGTTGACGTTTTTTTAACATATACATTCTTCTAAGACAAGAATAGTAAATAGAAAAAAAAAAAAATGAGCTGTCATTCATGTCAGGTCTAAAATATCACTAGAAGCTTTTGCTCATAATGTGGTTTCTGCCTCGCCCACGCACTGCCAACCCGGTGTTCTATTTTTGTTGCTTGTTTCTCTGGCTACACTGAAGTTGGCTGATGCGATGTATGCTTGATGTCTTGCAGTTTCAGTTTTTAACCGTGGCTGAGAATAGACTACTGCTGGTGTTTCTGCTGTTTTTACTATGCAATTATTATTGCATTGAAAATTATATGCTATAATTGTGGATGAGGTCATGGAAATTAATTAGAAATGTCTGCTTTGGCGGAACAATACAGAATGGAGGACCACATTCGGGGTCTAAATTATGGTTTTTAGGAGTACTTTTTTATGGTTCAGTGAGCATCATTTTAATGTCATTCGGGCTATTACTCATTTACTTATGCACATCTCACGACTACTTTTAATTAAGTTACAAAATATTAAATGTCGTACCATAATGAGAAAGAATAAAAGAAACAAGGAAAGTGAAGAGAAAGGAAGGAGAAAGAAAGATAGAAAGAGAGAGAGAGAGAGAAAGAACAAAATAAAGAAAGAAAAATAAATTTACAAAAAAAAAAATGTAAATTGTGAAATAATATAAATTGACAACCAACTTGCAAACCAGATTAAACGGAAAGCCTCTCCAATTCTGTTACTGTTCCAACACGGCTATTTGAGCCTACATTTTGCACATCCATTTTAAAAAAAAATTTACAAAACATTTATAAAACAAATTCTTTGTATTCTGGTATTTTATCTAGCCTGCAAAATCAAATATGTTACTGTCTGTGACTGTCTTCCTCCTCTGTCAAATTTGTATCACCTGCAGCATAATCTTTTCTACACTATGCCATATGCAATATAACACATTCTCAGATATATATATATATATATATATATTATATACGTCTGGGTAAGATGGTAAGTCTCAAACTGCACAGTAAAATAAATCTCACTTGAGTTAATTCTTTAAACCAGGAATTGTATGAATACAGTATGATACAGATAACAGACAATGAGTGGTGTTAGACGCTTCTCAAAGAAACACAAATCTAAACCACAAAAATATCTGAAATGTGAGATATGATGAAAGTCTATTAATTTTACGCAAAGATTCTTTCTAATCTTTTTTTTTTTCTGCTTTGGTTCCTTTAGATGTTTATTCGCCATTGTCAGGCACTGATCAATCATCTTTTAAAGCATGCATTAAAAGTATTATTAAGTTGCTTTTGTGTCGTTTCTTTGTTTTTGTTCAATTGTAGACTAAATCACACATTAAAATGCAGAATGGAGGGCTGTTAGGTTGTTTTATTTCCCATTGTACTTTTTTTTTTTTTTTCTTAAGCAGCTGACAAAAATGCCATCAAATCATATTCATCATATAAAGGAAAAATGACAGCAAAGCTACCAGACCAACATTGATTTTGATAAAAAATATGTTATTTTTTCCCCATCATTTCTTTGGCTGTATTTAACTGCAATCGATCTAGAGAGAAAGACACAAACAAATCTGATGATAAATAAACTGAAACGTTTATTGTGAGCTGCAGTAAAATGTTACTCTGGTATTATAACACTAAATGTTATAACACGGTCTCTATCAGGTTTGGAGGTGCTAGTACTCCATTTTCCTTATGTATTTTGTCTCAGTTGTACTTAACCATAGACTTGTGTCTTCCACTGCAATTCCCTTATATATACATATTGACCACAGATTAGTGGAAAACTCAAAGCATCATTACCACTGCTGCCCTGGCGCCCTCATAGGGTAAGTAGTCACAGAGTTTGAGAACAGTTCGACAACTTACCTGGAGCCAACCAGGGGTTAGTCACCTGTTCCTGTGGAGCTGGTAGCTCCTGTAAGGAGTTTCCGTTAGCTCCACTGAGATGTTCATTGCTGTAAAGGGCAGGCTCCGGAGGGTAAATGGTGCCCGGTCTAGCCAGGTAAAAACTGAAACTATTCTCAAAGTGTTGTTTTAAAGAAAGATGCAAACACAAGACATAGTAAGTAATATCATGTGAAGAAAAAATATTTTCATTGATATGTCACAACACTAAGTAGATGAAAAGCAAACATAAAAGTTAATGATGACAAATATAAGTGAAGAGAGGTAAGGTATAATAAGGCTTGAAATGGTAGATGATAAGTATAGCTACAGAAAATTCAGAAGACTGTTGCATATTTATATATTGAAAAATTAATGATAGCTATAACAACATAACTATATACTATATCTGTACATACACTATTTATGTCAGTTATGACGTCCACATACATTGTTTATGTAAGTTATGACATCCGATAGCTATTATCGAGTAAGAAGGCTATAAAAGATTAGATGAAGGGGTAGGTAAATATGATGAATAAGGTGACCCATGGCTAGCCAACAGTAGGGAACAAGCTTATTTGCTAAGTTGATATACTATCCTTCTATGGCCAACTAAAAGGAAATTCAGAAAAACTGATGAGGCATAGTAGGGGATTCCATAAGAATAAGGCAGCCATGCAAAGTCCTACAAATGAGAGTTAGACATATGGATGGGATGTGAAAATAATTGAAGGTTATTTTATACTGAATCCTTAATTATACGGCAAAGTCAATAGCGATATATATTATGACTATAAAGCAGTAGACCTTAAGAGTAATGAGTTCTGAATTTAGTTGAGATTAAACACTTTTCCTGACAATACAAGAACTAGCGGATCAGCTCAACTTTTAATGAATTTACCTGCTTCCTTTTCTCTGGGATCTTTCTTCTGGGGTCATATGGTCTCTAAAAGCATGTTGCCAGCACATACCTAAATGAACAGGAGACTGAATGTGGCCATTGCACATCATTTGTGTCTGTGCACCATTACTATCACAGTGGTCTGCACTGAGTCATCCCTGGTCAGCTGTCTGGCATAGCTGGCTGTCAGTACGTTGGACTAAAACCCCCCATTTTAGCCCCCTGAATTGCACTGTGGCACACTCCTATCCATGGATCCACAGCAACACACCACACAACCCCCCTAAACATAATTTCTCACTTCAGCATGTCGGGAGGTATGATTGAAGAGGACAAATCAACAATTCATGTTAATGTTTCTAGAAAACAATTTCTTCATGAATTGAAGAACTTAAACCACACACCTATCAAAAAACTAAGACATGATAAAAATAGATTGAAAGTATTTTGGAATTATATATATATATATATATATATATATATATATATTTATCACGCTTTAGTTTTTCGATAGGTGTGTAATTTAAAGGGACACAAAAGGCACCCAGACCACTTTAGCTAACTGAAGTGGTCTGTGTGCACTGTCCCTTTTGCACATAGTGCTGCAATGTAAAGCATTGCAGTTCCATAGAAACTGTGATGTTTACGTTGCAGCTCTAAGTCTGCCTCCAGTGGCTGTCTAGAGGGGTTCTAGGATTGAAACGGACCTTTTGTTGATTCAATGCTTTCCTATGGGGGGGGTGTCTAATGCACACACAGCATTTGCCGCGTTAGAGACCGCTCGTCGCGGGATTACGGAGGGGGCGGAGCTGGGATCAGATAAGTAGATAAACGTTTTTTAACCCTTTATTTACCATGGTGGGGAGGGGCAGGGAGAGCGATAGTGCCAGGAATGCAGCTTTGTATCCCTTTAAGTTCTTGAATTCATGAAAATACGGTATATATATATATATATATATATATATATATATTGGCCACCAAAACATGCAAAAATTCATTATGTTATGCAGTGTGTATAGTGAATACAGTGTCTGTGTTTGTGCAGGGGATGCAGTGTTTGTAGTGGATGCAGAGTATATAGTGGATTTAGTGTGTATGTAGTAAATTCAGTGTGGATAGTAAATGCATTGTGTGTGTGTATAGTGGATGCAATGTCTGTGTTTGTGTATTGTATGCAATGTGTGTAGTGGATGCATTTTATGTGTATAGTGTATGTATGTAGAGTGTGTGAAGTGCATGTAGTGTCTGTTTGTGGTATTGAGTGTGTGTGTGAGGGCAGAGCATGTTGAATTGTTAAGGGTTGGCCAGGGAGTCTATTTCCATCTCCAGCAGCATCACCTCCTCTCCCTGGGACCAATGGATGGGCCGGCCATGTGTATATACATATATATGTAGTTTTTTTGTCAATCTTTTCTTTTATTGAAGCATTGAAATGTAGGTCCCAGAAAAAAGAAATAGGAGTCAAATCAGATTTACACAGAACGCAATGACAGGAACTTCTGACAAAGTCATCCCCATGTAACTGTTAGGCACAAGGAGCGTGATATAGAAGCAGGCTATGCTCAATAAAGGTATGTATATTATGAACCAGCAAACCAAGCCAGTTAATAAAAGATAATACTACTGATATATGAAAACATTTGCTTTATTATTTTTGATATACTGAACCGAATTAACACTAAGCTTATAACTGATCAATACCATATTTAAAAATATGTGTAATTTTTTAGATTTTCACACAAAAAAAAAATATTGCAATAATAAAATACGCAAGATGATTTATCCTAGAAAATAATTCATTAAGCTGTACGATTACATCCATTAAATAAATTAAAACTGCCACGGGAACAGATCATCTCATGAATAAACATTAATAAAAACTCCTCTAGCTTCATTCCCATAAGGATTAGTGCGACTTGCACATGGACAAAAAATATAATAGACACGCAGAATCGATGTGTTGGTTTACATATATAAGTATTTCTTAAAGAAGAAAAATAAACACTGTTCTCTCAGTTCAAATTATAAATTTACCTATTGGAGTTGTAGTCATAACACAATTTCCTAAAGAGTTGCTAGTAAGACTAATGGCACATTACTTAAAATAGTGTTTGACTCAGAAATTAACAGAAAAATTAAATAAATAGCATCGCTCACTGAGATAAAAAAAATATTTCATTCAAAGACAGAGCAATTAAACGTGCTTTATATTAAACGAAATACTGAAGAATTAAACCCTATCTACAACAATCCGCATCATTATGATTTGTCTTCTATACCTAAAATCATATACTATTATCATTATTTGTCATATTATTAACATATATTATCAAGTTGCACCAGAGCCTGCACACCAATAGGGCCCATCCAGTGGGCCCTATATCTTCAGGGGCCCGGTCAGCGCTGCAGTCTTGTAATAGCGCGACCGGGCCCTTTTTAAAAAATTGCAGCCACACTGCAAGTAGTGCTGGGAGGAAGTAACAGCCGGTCACTTCCTCCCAGCTCACTCCGCACGGGAGGAGGGTCAGCGTGGAGGCCGTGAAGAGGGATCGCTCACACCAACTCCCATTTGCCCAAGCCACTCTCCTGCATGAAAAGGTAAGAAACAGGCAGGTGGCCGAAAAATGAGCTGTGTGTGTGTGTGTGTGTATGACAGTATGTATGTCAGTATGTATGTATGTCAGTATGTATATATGTCAATATGTGTGCATGTCAGTATGGATGTCTGTATGTATGTATGTCTGTTTGCATGTGTGTCTATTTGTATGTATGTCTGTTTGTATGTCTGTCTGTATGTATGTATGTATGTATGTTTGTATGTCTGTTTGTATGTATGTATGTATCTGTATATCCTTAGGCATGTGTGTGTGTGTGTCTGTATGTATGTTAGTATGTGTTTGTGTGTCACTATGTATTTCTGTGTCTGTATATGTGTGTATGTCTGTTTCAGTATGTGTGTGTCATTATGTATGCCTATATGTGTGTATGTCTGTTTCAGTATGTGTGTGTGTCAGTATGTGTGTATTTTTGTGTGTGCATCTGTGCCCTTTTGTATCAGTGTGTGTGTTTATGTGTGTATAAATTTTAGACTAAACTAAAAAATAAAGTTAACTATAAAGTACAGCATTTAGTATCCTTATAACAGTGCTTCATTCACAAGAGCTCCTTTATTCTCCTAGTCAGCTATAACGACTGACCGTTTGAAGCCATTTATGCTTACACCCTTTTTCTCTTTTAAAAAAAATAAAAAATTAGAAAGACTTTTCTGGCACAGACAGGTGCTGGAAACAAAAGAGGTCGCATGGACAAACACTTGGCCATATACTTGGCATCATGGGTAAAATACGCCAATTCTTTATCCCAACATGCCAGCATACAGTGTTCTGCATATACAGCAATTACACATACAATATTATAAGTTGCAATGCAGCTCTAATACATGCTTCCTGTGAGAAGTCTATCATATGGTAATATCATACATTGCCATTCACAACACATAGTCTATCTCTTTTGTTTGCCAAACCTGACTAGATGACGTCTGCGGTGACCTTCTGCTTCCTGACAAGATGCAAAAGTCAATATCATTTGTTTAGAGAACTATAATACAATCATGGGATTGTATCACCACCAGGATTGAAAAGCTGTCGCTTTTGTATAAAAAAAATGACTTGCACTAAAACATGCTCAGTCCTGCTCATTTGACAGATGTAGTAATTTGCTTGCTTGTTTTATTGATTGATACAGAATAGCTAATAAGGAGTAAAAAAAAACTGGATGAAAAGAGTTTTATTGTAGTTTTACTCTACTTTGATCAGGTGCAGAAATGACTCCACCATTGGCACGCAGAGGCTGATGACACTTAATTGCAATAAATATATGTGTACTGTGCGCGTTTTGTCAAAACGCTAACCCACAAAAATATAGGCGAACTGATTCATCTTCCATAAGTATCAGCTATTATTTTTATGTCATTTAAATGCATTTGAAATGGTTTGTCAGGAAACCCTCAAATTTAAACAGCAATTTGTTTCACGCTGCCACAAGAGCACAGATTGTTTCGGTTTTATTCAAAGCAGCTTTCTACGTGCCATTGTATTTAACCAAATGGAAAATAAAAGAGAACGATTGTTTGAAAATATATTTCTTTCTGATGAAGATAAAATGCTTGAATTAATCCGCCTGTTTGGACGAATAGACTATAATACATATTTTAATGTTTCTGGATGATAAAATTCTCCTTTCCTGTTTAACAAAATACAATTTCAGATTTTACAAAAACTGTTGGATGGAATATTTATATGGTGCAAAAACTGTGTTTTGCAATTAAGTTTTTGAAAATAAAATAAAATAAATATATATACACATACAAAGTGTATTTGTCAAAAATGGGGTACATTGGCATTGTTTCAGGCTTATGTAATGTATAATCAGATACTGTAACTAAACCCCCATTATTTCTTGCCTAGGTAAGTTGTATTTGAAAAAAACTATTACATTCCGTGAGCTTTGAAGTTGCTGTTTAGTGAATGAGTGAGTGCAGTGGATTGTGTATGTTGTATGTTGTATAAATTGTCCCAAGCAACACCCTTTTAATGCATGTTCAGGTAAGTGCAGACCTCTTGGTTTCATATCTAAATATAATGGGGAGTGCAGGCCAGCTGTCCGACTTTGCACCCCTCCCTTTCAAAGGTGCCTTATTTCGGGGCACTATTTATCCTTGTACTGCAGAAAATTCTTTGGATTAAGCATTCACCAAGTAAGTGCATTAATCTTAAAAGAGCAGGCATTATATTGCTAGTATAGGGCCTGCCATAAATATGGTACATTGTCATTGTGAAAATCTTATGCAATGTATGATCATATATTTTGTCCAGGTCAGGTGTTTTAAAAAAAACACAAAAAAACCTATTACATTCTGTGAACGTTAAAATCGCTCTTTAGTGAATGAGTGCAATGGATTTTGTGTGTGTGTGTGTGTGTGTGTATATGTATGTATGTATGTATGTATGTGTATATATATATATGTATATATAAACATAGAAAATCCATTGAATAATGGATATATAATATAACTTGCTTGAAAAAGGCACTTTGGGGGCGTGGCCTAACAGTCAATGGAGTAGGACGCACTCATTCCGAGCTCCTAGGCCCCAACCTGATTTGCCCCGATTAACCAGCACAGCAACGCCGCAGAAAGCGCACCTCCATGGGGGGGAAAAATCGACGGCTACCTACCGCAGCCCAGGTCACTCCGGCCCCCTCCCGACCGCCAGCCGGCCCGATGGACGAGTTCCTGGCCACGCCGCATGGCCTCCGCGACACGGGCGAGACCGGAACACCGGCCCTCGATTCCCCGGGCTCCAGCATAGCGGGCTCGGCGCGGGAATCCAGCACCCCTGGCACCCTGTCCCAAATATCCGCGGACCTCGCCGCGATCTCCGCGAGCATGATGACCCGGAAGGATAAAGGAGAAATGGTGGCTGAGCTGAGGGCCATAATAAGGGAGGAAATAGCGGCTGTGCGCACCGACCTCACGGCGCTGGAGCAGCGAGTAGACAGGTTGGAAGAGGAGCGCATACAATCCTAGCAGCACAGACAGGCAGCGGAACTGGCAACCACGAGGCAGGGCAACATCCTCCTGGACCTCCGCCGGCAGGTTGAGGATCTCGATAACCGCGGCCGGCGTAACAACATCAGAGTCAGAGGCCTGCCTGAATCCGAGGACGAGGTACCGCAGGAGATCCTGAATGGCCTATTTGCGCAACTACTAGGAGATGCAGCTCCTGGCGACTTCGGCATCGAAAGGGCCCACAGGGCACTCCGCGCCCCCAGAAGAGACGGGCAGCCAAGAGACATGATTTGCGCCCTCCTGTCATTCCCGCTAAAAGAATCTATAATGCGGGCAGCACGTGCACAGCAGCACATCACCTACATGGAAGCACAAATATCCCTTTACCAGGACTTATCTACCATCACCCTAGATGCCCGCAGGGCCCTGCGGCCTCTCACCCGAGCACTTCAGGAGCGACGAATTCCATACAAATGGGGGTTTTCCATTTAGCCTGCAGGCCCGGATGGGAAACGTATGGCACATCATCCGCTGGCCGAACGACGTGCCACGGTTTTTAAGAACCGCCAACTTACCTGCTATCTCAGTGCCAAACTGGATCCTGGAGGGACCCCCGGCGCGAGCCACAGGCCCATCTGAAGTGGCTCACAACATCCACCTGGAGCCTGGACCACCAAGACGCAGAGGAGGCCCAATAGGCCCTGAGGAATAGAGGCCCCCACGCCGCACGGACCAGTGGCCCCCCATGAGACATCCCATGCCAGATCAGGGCATTGCCTCCCGAGCTTACCCCAGCATTGATTATGGACGCCATGCAGATCCGATGACACCACGGCAGGGGTATGTACTTTTAAGTCCGCTGTCAGCTTGCATTAGCTAGTAGACAGGGAGGAAGGCCGCAGACAGGTGGGGAGGGAACTGAAGCCACTTTCGGGGAGCGGCCGGGAGCTAGGGCCCCATCAGCGAACCCACACACCCGGGGCAAAAAGGGGGACATACCCCGTAGGTGGGGAGGGGATGATGGGCAGGGTACAAAGGGTCTGGACACCGACACCATCACCCAGGTCATACCCTGGGTCAAGACTGCTGAACTGAACAGGCTGCTCTAGCACACCGCTGCTCACGGAACAGAGCTGAGGGGGGGATGCGGGAGGGTGAGGGCTACGGGACATGCGGGCACACAGGGCTAGAGCTGGGAGGGGGGCTGGGACAAAGCTGGGCACTTCTTGTTCATGTTGTTTAGTTATACACGGTTCCGTTTATATCACCCAACACACATCACAGCCACTCACATGAGGGGACAACCACGCACAATCTGCCTCACTGAGACAAGCAAGACGCCATGTTGGTACACCCCACTACGAAAGCCCAGGCACGCAGATAACTATCATGACGAAAACTCTGGGCGCAGGGAGAGACCACGTCCCAAACCAGCCCCTCTGAAGGGACGCAAACGTGGGAGCTGGCGAGCCACGCCCACAGGGTGGCCTCACAATGCAGCCCAACACATGTAGGACTGACTACCCCCAAACAGCGCCCTAACACCCTAGACACGCCGACTTGTTGCCAACGAACTGTAAGTTACCAGGCGGGGGAGGGCAGACACGGAGGGCCCCGGGATGTCCGGCAGACAAAACCAGTAGAATCCCCTGACAACACCCGGCCACTAGGACCGGGACGCCAGGAGAGCCGACCGTGACGGGGGGACCCACGGGTACCACTGACCATAATGCCGACTGGACCGGTAGGCTTATCCGCTACCAGACCTCGGGACTGCGGTACAGGACACCACAGCCCGACCGACACTCTAAGTCCCGGGCGACTATTGCGGACCCCTAGGCTAGAGTAGGCAAACATGGCGATTGCACACACCCTTACAGGTTGGGTGCCGATGGAGAAGGGAGAGAACCAACCTCACTCAGATCCGAGACCGACTTCACTGTAAGTGACCATACGGAACCCCCACTGAGACAGACCCACACTGTACATTACACCGGCGTTCTCGTCGCTGAGGTTACCCACCAGGCTCGAGAACGAATACACCCGGTACAGGGTCAGAGTCACACCCGCACACCTAGAAGACACGCCAGATCGTTCACATCACCACCACAGACAGACAGACCCCCCCCACACTCACCACCTTTACACATACAGACAACGCTGCGGGGACGCCGCCCTGCCGCCGGGATGGACGCCTCGCGAGGATTTGTCCCGGCCCAACTGACATACTGGTCCAATAATGTTCAGGGGCTTAACACACCTGAAAAGCGCGCGCACCTGGTAAGGCGCCTATGGGCCGTGAGAGCCTCAGTGGCGTTCCTGCAGGAGACTCATCTCCGAGGACTGGACGCCCCCAAACTAGAGAACAGACGCTACCCGCAGGGATTCTACGCGAACCACCCGGACGCTAAGAGGGCTGGTGTGGCAATACTCTTTGCACAGACGACGCCGTTCCAACATATAGCAACGCAGGCGGACCCGAACGGCAGATTCCTTTTCATTAAGGGTACAATCATGGAACACACGTATACCTTCGCATGCCTCTACGGCCCGAATAGAAAGCAGCATACATTCCTGGCCCGGACGCTAGCCAAACTGGAGAAATTCAGAGACGGCCTCTTGGTCATGGCAGGTGACCTCAACTTACCACTGGACCCCCGCACGGACACCTCCAGAGGACAAACCGCGATCCCGGCACACTGCATACGAGCAGCACTACGAGCTATACATAAACACGGCCTGGTGGATTGTTGGAGGGCATGTAACCCTGAAGGTAGAGACTACACCCATTATTCGACAGTCCATAAAAACTACAGTCGCATAGACTATATATTCCTGGCCCAGGAATACCTCAACCTCCTCCACGACGCACGAATAGGCATAATGGACCACACAGACCATGCACCACTGACGATCCGCACGAGCTCCCCACTATATAAACCCCGCGAAAGACACTGGAAACTGAATGAATCCCTACTGGACGATGCAGAGTGTAAGAGGGTGACTGCCCAAACCTTAACTGAATACTTTACTACCAACGAAGATACGGAGACGCCACCGTTAACGATATGGGAAGCCCACAAATGCGTCATACGGGGACATTTCATCGCCATAGGCACCAAACGCAAGAAGGAACGAACACGACGTATCACAACACTGCTAGACCGGATAGCTGACCTAGAAGGGGAACACAAGACGGACCTCGCAGACAGCACATACCTCCGCCTGACGGAAGCACGAAGGGAGCTGAAAGCCATACTATCACAAGGACTCTTACACACCGCGAGGAAGGCCTCCAGGTATTATTATGAACACTCGAACAAAAGTGGTAGGTTGCTAGCTAGGATGCTACAAGACAGAAGGAAAGCGCAACACGTTCACAAGATACGCACGAGCAGTGGAGACACAACCTGCCTCCCAGACGGCATACTGTCAGCGTTCCGGGAATACTACGCGGCGTTATATAACCAACCACGACTCCACCACGACAGAGACATAGGTAGCCATCGAGAACGGATAACCACATACCTTCAGAACCACATCACCCGCCAGCTTACCCCGGACCAGGAGGCGGAACTCGAAATGCCCTTGACGATTGAGGAACTATCTGGCGCATTGAAATCAACTAAAGCACACAGGGCCCCGGGCCCAGACGGCCTACCAGTCTCGTACTTACGCTCCTTCAAAGACACCCTGCTGCCCAAACTTCTGATAGGCATCAACTCAATCAGAGATGGAGGCCAATTCCACAGAGACACCCTGGGAGCAACCGTGGCAATAATACCCAAAGAGGGGAAAGACCCAACAATCTGCGCCAGCTACAGGCCCATCTCTCTGATAAACGCGGACATCAAACTCTTCGCTAAGGCTCTGGCACTCAGGATGGCCCGAACGCTCCCGGATCTGGTGCACCCGGACCAAGTGGGGTTTATCCCCGGAAGAGAAGCCAGAGATAACACTATTCGAGCCCTCAACACCATCCATACCGCTAAAACGGGCAAAAAGGAAATGGTCCTACTATCCACTGACGCTGAAAAAGCGTTTGACAGGGTGGACTGGGTCTATATGTCGGAAACCCTACGACATTTGGGATACGGTCCACACCTGCGGACCTGGATAACGGCTTTATACACCTCGCCCACAGCCCGCATAAGAATAAACGGAGCACTGACTGACTCGTTTGATATACATAACGGCACGAGACAGGGTTGCCCCCTGTCCCCACTCCTGTTTGCCCTCACCCTGGAGCCCTTCTTGGAGGCGGTCAGACAGGACAGGGGTATCACGGGGTGCAGCATAGGAGGAAGAGAACACCGGGTAGCGGCTTACGCTGACGACATGCTCTTCTTCCTGGAGCAACCCAGAACCTCCCTCCCACATCTCCTGGAGGCGTTTCGACAATACAAGGAGGTATCCGGCTTGACGCTTAATCTAGATAAGTCATAGATATTGCTGCTCGCACAGGACAACATCCTCCAACGACACATCCAAGCACAATTCCCCTTCAAGATCTCCACAGCCAAGCTACACTACCTTGGGGTGTGGCTCCCGAGAGATTTGACACTTATCTACCGACTGAACTTTGCGCCCCTGCTCACCACCCTACAGCAAGACATGAAACGCTGGACACCTCTATACATCTCGTGGTTTGGGCGCATCAGTGCCGTGAAGATGAACATTATGCCCAGATTATTATACATGTTCCAGACACTACCAACGTACCTCCCGAGGGCATTTTTTCAGACCCTGACGACCGCAGTCAAGAACTTCGTCTGGAACCAAAAACCAGCGCGTATCCGAAGAGCGATTCTTGAACGCCCTAGAGGAGAAGGAGGTATGGGATTGCCGTCCATCCTCACGTATTACCACGCTACCCATCTGCACAGACTGGTTGATTGGCATGCAAACCCCAGTACAAAGCAATGGGTAGACCTGGAGAAACACCAAGCCCAGGGACGAATCCCCGCTATGCTATGGCTGGGAGACGCACTACCCAAGGAACTACTTACCGGGAACCC